CCCCCCGGGCCCCCCGGCCCCCCATCCCCCGCGCCCCCGAGGCATGCCGTTGGGCAAATAGAGTGCGGAATGCCGTAACCGACTTGCGGCTCCTCGATTTTGTACCTGTTTGTTCGGGGCGCACGTTGCCTCGCTGTCGATTCGCGTTGCCAAATCCGATGCTGAAAGCTCGGGCTCATTGTTTCAGATTGATTGATCTTCAGCTTTTGTGCAATACATTCTGGACACATTGGTGGATCCAGCAGTTGGGCAACACCGGATTTTCTGCATTGAACCAATGGAAATGTATCGACCCTTGGAAGGGCCAGGGCTAGGTGCTTCGACAAGAATCGATTATTTAGCATATGGTTTAAATGGATGAAATCCGGTGTTGTCAAATTGCTGGACTAGCCTGTCTGGAGACGATGGATATTTTTCGAAGTTTAACCTTTAAAGTATAATATGGATAGCATTTTGCAAAAAGGAACCACTAGCATTGCAATGATGCTAAGATTGTGCAACTTCATCCTTTGCAATAAAATTGCGGAAATCGTGAAAAACTATTAAATTTAGATGGTAATTTTTGTCTTAAATTCACAGTTTTTAGCGAGTAAAATAGAAACTATTAATGGATAATCGGGTTTTTCCTCCAAGACAAAAGAAGTTGCACAATCTTAGCAACATTGCAATGCTAGTGGTTCCTTTCTGCAAAATGCAATCCATATATCTGAGAACAAAAAAATCATTCTGTAGATAAATCATTGAAAAACGTTGTCCTACGTCATTTATCCATTTTTTTTCCTTCGATAAGTTTTCCTACTACGTTTTTCCTACTCGTTTTTTGTCCCATCACAGTAAAGTCTAACGAATAAGTTGACCTACTGGCTTTTTTCTAAGGGTATTTATCCTAATTGTAATTGAAACTTGAACATGAGCAGAGCAGAGAGAAAAGTTTTCGGAGCTTAAAGTAATTTTTAGAAGGCAGCTCCACTATTGTAACTTATATGTTTAAATTGGACGTAGTTCTACCAAACAGACCTATGTGGAAGTGAGAAATATGGGGTGTGCTCGTTAGTCTCTTTGCGTAAGAGTGAATGAGAATAATTGTGCGCCAGTGACGTCAGCGGCAATGAAAAAGCGGTCGCGCAACGAGGGGATCGTCGTCGGGGCGCTTTAACTCATGAGCCCTGTCCACAACGCTTTCTTGCCATGCCCGCGGCTCATGAGTTCCGCACTCAGCTGCACATAGGTCTGTTTGATAGAATGCAATATCCCGCTTTTCCAATTCTTCAAAAGGAACCACGCCCACTGACCACATTGCTTCTTATGCAGATTTCTAGAGCACACCCCACATTTCTCATCGCCACATAGGTCTGTTTGGTAGAAATACGTCCAATTGTGAGTTATGTTATTCTTTTAAAATTGAAATTAGGACGAATTCTCGTATCTAAAGGTCAGTAGGATACCTTACTCGTACGATTGACAGTAATGGGACAGACAACGACTGGAGAAAAGTATCAGGAAAACTTGTAATGGGAAACAATGTTTTAGGAATAATAACTTGCCACCAAAAAATGTTCTTGCCGAAAATCATCTTCAAAAGTTTTAAAAAAAAGTCAAGAGTACTGCTTCCAATTAACAATCGATACCAATGCATCGAATTCGGTTGTGAAATGGAAACAGTAGTTTTGACTTTCAAGACTTTGAAAGATTATTTTCGGCACGAGCTTTCTTCATTGATTTATCTCCAGACTGAAATTTGGATTTCCCCAAATAATCTACCTAAATGGCCAAAATCTAAAATGTACCAATCGCATCGTTAGAATGTCACCTTTGTCACCAGTGTCATATTTCAAGTTGGAAAGACCGAACTCCAGGTAAAACTATCCAGTGTGTTTGAGAAAAAAGTTTCATGTATTACCAATCAACCTCTTCAGAAAAATCTGGAAAATTGATTTCCGCAACCTCCGACTGATGAAATTTTACTCGTTTTCGAGATATTGATGAAAAATAACCCCCTTTTCCGTAAAGGCCTCAGAAAGCGGGCGCCAGGCGGATCAGCCAATAGGAGACGACTTGTGAGTGTGGGGAGTTCCACTCGGCCCAAAATTCAAAGTGCGGCTCTTGTTTTTTCTGTGGTTGACAGTAAGCATTTTCCAATCGTCTACTATGTTCCGCGGGAAATTTTGAGTGGGGGGGGAGGTGGATTCCCACGTCGCTTAAATTCTGCTCTGTCTAGAGGTTCATTTTAGCTTTAGCATGTTTCCTGCCCGGGCCGCTTCCAACGATGACGTAGTACATTCTACCCGTCAGAACATCCGCAGACACATGGAAAGCAGCCTCATCCTTGCGTTTCCTCCACTCTGAAAGCCAAGATCGTTAGTCTTGCGGCAGGAAATAAAACCCCGGAAAACACACGGTTGCACCACTTCGGAGGGCGGAGGGGGTAGGTGTGACTGCAGGAGCTCACGCACGACAGTGCTGCCAACTCCTCTCAAAATACCTCATTTTCTCGCAATATAAATGCTGGCTTTCGGGTGCATTCTCCGATGGGTCTCTTGCAAGGGTCTAGTAAACGCCTTCAAATAGCACTGATACTCCGCAATACACCGGTGCTCGATAAGTGGTATCATACGGATTTGCTTGTCAATTAGTCAGTTACTGCGACGCGCCTTGAATTAATTATATACTTTGCAACTCGCCGGTGCTTCTTAAGTGGTATCACTCAAAATTCCCTATGATTTCTTCCTTCCGCGCCACGAAAATTCTAAAAATAAGAAAATTGGGTCAAATAAACTCTGCTTGGATGAAGTGTATTTTGCATACCAAATTTAAACATTTTCCTCTTCAAAAAGCTCTTATTTCAATTGATACATGTATAAAAATGCCCATATTTGTAGTTACACATCGTTAACTTTTTTCGCTGAGATCAACCAAAAGGATTTCGTTGGTCAACCACTTTTTTTTCGCATCGACCGAAACCATTAGTTATCCTAAAGCATCTCAGGATTAAAAGTTTCCTGGTGACCTAATCTACTCGAATTTTCCTCACTTCCGTTTATCGGTTTCCAGTTGACGTATTTGGATTAATGACTACTACACCCGGGTCCGGTAAAAGCAGCCAGCGCATAGTTTTTACGGATTCGAATTTTTTTTAACCGAAATATTAGGTCAATCAAACTGAAAATTTGG